CCCCAAAACCCCAAAACCCCAAAACCCCAAAACCCCAGCACTTTGAAAATAAGTTGAAAATAAAATAAATTTAATTATAAGAATAAGATGGAAAGTGAAGATCGAATTGTACAAGAAAGGCATAGGCAAATCATCAGGTGAATTTAATAAGTTTTTGAGTTTCTTCTAAAATTTAGATAAAATTTTTATGACTTGATGTATTTGGATAAAGTTAGAAGGTCATTTTATTTTTGATATCATAAATTTCTCTTTATTTTAAGTATTAGATTTTAAAAATGATAAGAAAAATTCTTTGATTTCTATTAAATTTTAGTATCGCCAAGAAATACTTTAATTTTCTTAATTCCATCTTATCTTACATATTCAAATTCAAATTTTACACTCTGGCAATTAAACCTCATTACAATACACTGATGTTAAAGAAATTGATGCCCTTACTTTATCGAGAGACTTCTCGTTTGTCACTCTATTATGCTTTTTACAACTCACAAACTAGGAGTTTAATTTCATTTTGAATCCAGATTCATCTAAAGCTTTGTATTAATTTATATCAAATTCTGACATGAATCTGACTCCCCAGTTAACCTTTAATTGTATAGTCTAAAGAAATCACTCCTGGTTGAAAGCATCAAGCAACAATATCAGAGATGCTGTGATATCTACTACAATACATTCTCAAAGAAAATTAAAGCTAGTTTGCCAGATCCAGATTCTGATGAACACTGAGTAAACTATTGGCTTCAAATGGTTTTTTCAAATCGTAAATATATGATCCTTACGAAAAATATAAAATTTCTAAAGTTCTTCAACGTAAATAAGGTGGGATTATATATTGGCAAAAAGAGAAATTAAGCATATCCTGAATTTAGTAGATTTCTCATTGCCTAATAAAACAAACGAGTTAGATGTTTCTCTCTCTTTTGAAATGAAGCTGAATAGAACTTCTTACTTCAACTCATTGATCAGGATCAGCTCAAAAGTAATCCGAGTCGCGACGTTCTCTCACTTCTGTCTTAACCTTAGTCAATTGAAGAGATTGATAGCAGCTTACAGACACGTGGAAAGATTGGATATTTGATGCTGTGAGCTATCCATTCCGACTGCTCCTGATTTCTCAAAGGCTCTTCAAAATTGTCAAATTGAGGAAATAAATTTATTAGGTACAGGAAGCTATTCTTACAAAAATTGGAGAGATCATCCTGAAGAGTTCAACAATTTGATACAAGGCTTCGCAAGGTCTACAGATTTAAGAACTAGTCTCAGGAAAGTGAACATTAAGAATTGCTGAATAAAGCAAAGTGAAGCAGAAGAAATCTTTGCAAAAAATCAAATCAGAGGAGTAACAATAATTGGTGGGATTTAAATATATCAATAAATATAATTTTTTTGGATCAGTCAAAAAGTTTAGCTAAATTTAAATGTTGAGTAGCTTTGCAACTTATTTTAGCGTGGTTTGTCATTCTATCTTTTGAAATTGTGAACTTAGAGATTATGTTAAAGTAATATATTCAGGTGTAAATTCTTAGAGCAATTAAGCTGGGAGTTTCTTATCGATGAAGAGTATCACTAAGTTTAACAGCCCCAGCTTCTAATACCTCATATTTAGTATTTTTTATATTTTGTTAAAAATTTTTGACCCACATGCATGTTGGTATATTTATGTTATAATACTGCTTAAAAAAAATCGATTGTTTAAAGAATGGTCAAGGGGTTTTGGGGTTTTGGGGTTTTGGGG